TCTGACCGAGTTTGGCGCACCATGACCTTGGCTTGACTTTGGCTTTAGCACAACAACAACTTTATATCAGTTGCAGCAATAGCTTCTCTTAGGGAATCAACAGAGCTTTATTATAGCACGTGTGCTTTATTCTTTTAGTCACATGTGTAATTAAGTTGATAACTCTTTAGTTTGTTAAGTTGTTAGGGTTGTTATTTTCTGTTTTTTGCAAAGCAAGCTTCTTGTATTAATAGAGTGCTTATGGCTTTGTTTCTGTAAGAAGTTTTACAACAAAATCAATAAAGTTTCTACATTGTTTTCTTCATGAATTCCATTATGGTATCAGAGAGAGCTCTGTTGATTACCCTTCCATATCATCCTTCTTCATCTTCTTCCATAAAGTTATTTTCCTTTTCTTTCTCCTTACACCATGGACAATGAATCTGAAACCACCAACCAACAACAACAAATCCATGACATCACTCACAATCCATATTACCTGCACCCAGGAGAGAATCCAGGGATGACAATCGTGTCACGTCCTCTAGATGGAAATAACTATCACTCATGGAGCAGGGCCATGAGGAGAGCCTTGCTTTCCAAAAACAAGTTCACATTCGTCAATGGAGTGATAATGCAGCCACAAGAAACATATCCCATGTTTGAAGCATGGGAAAGATGCAACACCATGGTCATTTCATGGATCACAAGATCACTAACCCAATCAATTCCTCAAAGCACAATTTATATTGAAATTGCTCAAGATTTTTGTTAAGACCTTAAAGAAAGATTCACAGAGGGTGACCATTTCAGAACATTTGATCAACTTTAAGAAGTGCACTCTATAAAGCAAATGGATAGAAGCATATGTAATTTCTTCACTGAGCTTAAGACCATATGGGAAGATTTAGAAACACTAAGGCCAATCCCTGGCTGCATTTGTGTTGTCAAATGCACTTGCCCTTTTGTGAGAACTATCAATGCTCAAAGGGAGAATGAATATGTCATTTGTTTTCTCAAAGCCCTCAATGAACAATTCGGCACTGTGAGATCACAAATACTCCTCATGGACCCACTACCACCTATTAACAAGGCATTCTCTATTGTGCTTCAACAAGAAAGACAAGAAGAGAGCACAAGCTTAACAGAGATCAAAGGAGCTATCAATTCTATCAACTCAGGACAAAATTGGAGAAATTCATCCAACAAGAACTTTAGCAGAAGTAATGCAGACTCAAACAGTGGAGGAACTCGAAGATTCTCTTCTAACTCATACAACAGAAACACCAATTCAGGCACAAACAGCAAGTTATGCATCTTTTGTGGTAAGAATGGACACACCATAGAGACTTGCTATTTCAAGCATGGTTTTCCACCCAACTTCAAATTCAAATAAAAGGGATCCATGAGTGGCTCCATCAACAATGTGCTCACAAGCCAAACAAGAAGCAATGAGGACACCAAAGATAGGCAACTTGAACAGAATTCAGAACATACTGCAAGCAACCTTAGCATCAACTATGAGCATGCAATAAACCAGGCTAGTCAAGAACCTGAACAAGATGCAGATCACAATGTATCAGGTACTTTTCTTAACAATGAGTCATGGATTCTTGATAGTGGGGCTACTGATCACATCACTAATGATATGAACAATTATGTTACCTATAAAGCTATTAAGCCTATCACTATAAGACTGCCCAATAACTTAACTATCTTAGCTAAACACTCCGGAATTGTAAAATTGATATCCATACATAAGCTTGCTTGTGCTTCCCAATGCAAGCTTATCTTTGACAATGATTCTTGTTTTGTCAAGGATATGACTACCTTGAGGATGATTGGTTATGCTAAGGCACACAATAACCTCTACATCCTCAACAGACATAACAAGCAAACAAGGGATTTACCTCATTTTGTTAATTCTTTAAACAATAGTGATTATTCCTTTGACCTTTGGCATTTTAGGATGGGACATCCATCATATAATGTCTTAAAGCATATACATAAACATTTTCTTTTTGTCAATTTTGATTGCAATAAAGTGTGTGATTTTTGTCACTTAGCTAAACAAACCAAATTGCCTTTTCCAAATAGCTCTTCACATACTCTAAAAGCTTTTGATTTAGTGCATATGGACATTTGGGGTCCCTTGAGTACTCCCACCTCTCATGGTCATAAATATTTTCTTACTATTGTTGATGATTTTACAAGACATACATGGATATTTCTTATGTGTTCTAAAACTAAAACTAGGAATCTTATTTATATGTTTGTCAAGATGATCACTGTGCAGTTTGACACACACATTAAAGCCATTAGAACTGACAATGGCTTAGAATTCCTCATGCCTAAGTTTTATTTTGAGAATGACATTTTACACCAAACATCATGTGTGGAAACACCTGAGCAAAACTCTGTTGTTGAAAGAAGACATAGACAAATCCTAAACATTACTAGATGTCTTCTTTTCCACTCTCACTTGCCAAAGAGTTTTTGGGGGTATGCAGCTAGACATGTTGTATACCTTATGAATAGATTACTTAGTTCTATTCTTGACTTCAAATCCCCTTTTGAAGTCCTTATGCATAAGCAATTTGACCTTCAACAATTGAAGGTCTTTGGTTGTCTTTGCTATGCTTCAACTCTCACTAGAAATAGGCAAAAGCTTGATGCACGTGCTAGGAAGTGCATCTTCATTGGTTACAAATTTGGCACTAAGGGTTTTTTACTTCAAGACATCAAAACTAGAGAAATCTTTCTAAGTAGAAATGTGGTTTTTCATGAACACACCTTCCCTTATCAACCAAGTCAATCCCTTGAAAGTCATGAGACCACCACCCCTACACATGATTATCATTCTTTTTTCTCATACTTTTAGTCACATGTGTAATTAAGTTGATAACTCTTAAGTTTGTTAAGTTGTTAGGGATGTTATTTTTTGTTTCTTGCAAAGCAAGCTTCTTGTATTAATAGAGTGCTTATGGCTTTGTTTCTGTAAGAAGTTTTACAACAAAATCAATAAAGTTTCTACATTGTTTTCTTCATGAATTCCATTAGTCAAAGCTGAACAAAGTGAAGGATTTACATGAATGTGGTTGTGGTGGTGAATTGAAGGAAAATGACCTTAGTTAAAGCATTTACCATAATGAAATTCAAATTTTATTCTTAAATGGGTTCTATTATAGTAGATGCTCTAACATACAATTATTTCGACGTGTCCTGTTTAGATTTTTGTGGCGATTTGCTCATTATAATGGTAAGTATGTACCTTTTTGGAAGCATTTTTTTTTCTGTCATAACTTTGAAGAGAAATATGACCAAGGGGATGCAATGTAGAGGACTAAGGATATTGTCCCATAGGAAAGTTCTTGTGCTCTTTTTAACTAAAATTATTATTTCGTTGTATATGCAAAAATAAAAGTATTTTATTATATTATTTTTTATTTTATTTTTATAGTATTTATCTCTTTAATACTAGAGATGATCCTTTATAATAATGTTTTCATTATCCTCTGTATATTTTAAAAATGTATTCTCTATTGTTGAGATATACGTTACAAATCGTGAATCATTTAGGATTATCCTATACATTTATTCATAAAATATACACGTATTCTATTTAATATTTATTATTTTTTAAAATTGTTGATAATTAAAATATGATTTAATATTTAAACGTGTTATTTTGGCCATAAACCTAAAATTAATTGTCGCGACCCAATTTTTGATTGGAAGACCGACCATGTGACTTAGGGAGAGGCGAACTCGATTTCTACCTCTTCAAATTGATTTGGAGTCGCCACTACGTTTTTTGTGTGGATAAAACGTAGAAAACTCTCTATATGCCCAATTTGGACAATTTGGTCTTTGATCATAGATTCTGAGCTCGGGAGTCGATTATGGATCATGGAAGGTATTAGCACTCCGTCCGTCCATATTAAAACGGTACCCTCGCTAATAACATGGACTTTTATACTCTTAAAATTATTTATTGAAATTCAGTAATAAAAAGCAAAATGTTTTATATTTTATTATTGTGCCTGACAAGAGTTCATCTTGCTCCTACGTATCCCTAGGTGCAATAGGGAAATCAAGACTACGTAGTTTTGGTCAGAAAATTAATAAATTGGTTTGGTTGAGTTGAAAATATCGATTTGGTTGAATTGAAATTTTAACACTCGTCGTAGAAATAATTTTTATAATTTTATGAAATATGGATTAATAGTAAAGAGACAACATTGGTCGTGCATCGACTTTCCACTTTTAAAGCAGAAAGGAAGAAACGACACGGGTCGTCGACCGGACTATCAAACTCATTTTGAGAATCATTAAGGAACACTTAATCTAGAAAAATATTTTTAGAAGTACTTTTTTATAAAACTAGAGTTGATAGTGAAGAGAAAACACTAGTTGTGCACCAACTTTTCACTTTTAAAGCAGAAAGAAAGAAACGACATAGGTCGTCGACCGGACTATCAAACTTTTTTTGAAAATCATTAAGGAACACTTAATTTAGAAAAAATATATTTTTAGAAGTACATTTTTTTATAAAACTAATGTCGATAGTAAAGAAACAACACTGGTCGTACACCGATTTTCCATCTTTGGGATGGAAAGCAATAAACAACACGGATTGTCAACCATACTATCAGACTCCTTTTGAAATCATTTGAATAAATAAGATAAATTGATTTGAACATTTAATATTTTCTAAGTGCCCTTTTTTTAAAAGGATTTTACAAATAGGAAGAATTAATAATTAATAAATTGAAAATACTATTAAGGATTCTACCCGAATATTATTATCATTTAACCATGAGAATTAATAAATTAAAAAATAAATCAATTAATAAAACCAAAATAAGTAAGGAATAAAATAAAATAAAAAAGAGAGCATGGGCCGAAGGCCCACGCGGGATAAAAAATGTTGAGAAGGGGGAGGGGTTCATTCTGATCCTTCTCATTTAGGGTTGAGAGGCTTCTAAGAAAAGGTGAGAAGACAAGAGAATGGAGGCGGCGAAGGTGAGAAGACGGAGCCGAGGAACGAATTGCGGTTCCTCTCCCGTTTTCCTCCGACAGTGGCGGAGGCGGTTTGCGGTGACTGGGAAGGGGTAGGGTCGTCCTCCCTGCAATAAACCGCCATCCACGGTGGTGGCTCCTCTTCTCCATTCGGTTTTCTTTTACCTCGGTTTATGCTTCGAAAGGTATGCCTAACCTTATTCATCATTGTTCTCTTTTCTATTTTCCTTCCCTAAACCGTGAAAATGATAGTGACTCGCCATAGCCACCCTTTTCCATCCAGAACCGCCATTGGAGGTAATAATTCGAAGGTTGCCGACGTGGGTACTACGCAGAACCCCGATTTGAGTAAGGGTGATCTTCCAACCCTCTATTTTACCTCTTTACTTTGTTAACAAATTGAAACCAAAACAAAAGGTGATGTAAGATTCATGGACATGTTTCAGTATAAGTCTTTTACGCGACTGTGTGATTGCTTTACCTGTGATTTACCTTTCGAATGCACGAACCAAACTTCTATCCGGCTTTAACCTGACTGGAACTCCCCTTTCGGTTGCTTTAATTTTATCTATGGCCAATGTTTGTGATAGGTAGATATTGTGAGTCCGCTTGCTTTTTCGTGTGTAGGAATTGGGAGGTGTAGTGTATGTGGGATTGCCAATCTAAAGAGTTAGGGATATGCGTATCCTGAACAGAAGTAATAAGGCTTTTTCTGAAAAAAAGATTATGGGTGTGTGTCTGTGATATGCGTATATGTGGTGTGGTGATTATGCAGGATGTCTGTAAAAAATATCTGGCTGTATGTCTTTTGCTACTAATTTCCCCGAATCATGGACATGTCTTCTCATGTATTTGTAGCTTGGTCTTCTTATAGAGTTAGGACTCTACTGTGAAATCCTTTCAGTTGCCAACTGTTCAGAGACTACTATCAATTATGGTGACTGTTATGATTGCAATTAGAGTCATTAACTTGCTAGCTTGTACCTTTTCCTGACTTTGATTGCTCCATTTTTTTAAAAACTGTCCATTACTTATGAGTGTGTAACTGAAAGGCTTTTGGTTACTCAACTCTATGACTGCACATGACTGCTGCTATTCCTGCTAAATCTGTAACTGGAAATAATACCCTCTTTCTTTTAGTTGTTTGTCATGACTCCTTGCCTTTCTGACTACTGCATTCAAGTTTGTCCACTAATGTTGCTTAATGGTTCTCATTGACTTTGGTTGATACTTGCTAACTGCTATCTTTTCAATTTTCCCATTTGCATCTGTATGTGTTCTCTGGCTTAATGTGTATTGCTCTCTGTTTTCTCAGGTGGAAGAGGATGACCTTTGTTAGTGGTTCCCCACCACCACAAACAGTTGTCTATGCAAACTTTTGTACTAACAGTGGGGTTGTGAAGGATTCCTTGTGAAAGTTTGGACATTAGCATAAACATAGAGGATGCTACTGAATCAAAAAAGATAGTGCTTTATCCAAAACCCAAGTAAGAGCAAAGAATATGAGTATGTACAAGTTGGGTTTGCTTTGAGTAGTTTGGTGCGGCGAAAGCAGTGCGGATATCTGTTTTATTGTATGTGTGGTGTTGTTGTATCAAGCTAGTTCGCAGTATATCTCCTTGCTAAATGCCAAACCAATGCCATAATTTCCTTTCTACTTTATCTAATTACACCGTGTTTATCAGCATTATGGATTACTATAAGGAAATGCTGCAATTGCTATTGTAATATGATTATTATTGCAGAGAAGTTATGAACGTGAATCTTTTAGTTATGCAGCCTTGTTGAAGCCAATTTGCTTTATGGTGATTTATAAACAGTATGAAATAGGATTAATAGTCATGGTACTTGCTTTTTGAATGCCATTTGAATAAACTCATGAAAAAGGTAGTCCAAAATTATTCATCCACTTATTAACTCACAACAAAGGTAAACCGAATTTTCCTCATTCACTTTTCTTACAAAAAAGTTGGTACGTGAGGTCTTCCCCTTGTCTTTTTAACATATTGGAATGACTAAATAGGATAGGATAAAATTGAGTGTTCACACATTAATTTTTCAGATCCTAACTTATATTAAAGTCTTTCTCAAATTGTAATATAGCTTGGATCAAATATTATTACACTTCATCACTCATGTATACTCTAGTGAAAGTTGGAAGAGTCAACAACAACAAAAGTCAACATAGTATATGATTTACTCATTAATACATATAAATCTTTCATAGTTTTCACTCAGCTATAATTAATGCATTTATCTCCTCTATTAAAATATGAGTGTAATATTTATATATTATCGGTATAAAGATTTATATATACTCACTATATTATTTACCATTCATTTATATTGTTTCTTTTTAAGAATCAATGATAATTATATATAAATATTATATGATAATTAGATAGTAGATTTTGGGATCTCACATAATTTTATACCACTCACCAACACATTGCTTCTCACGTTTAGATATGGGTATGTATGTAGTATTTTACAAGGCCAAGGCCTTTCAAGTTTCAACCGTATAATTATTATTATTTTCACAGAAAAGATTTAACATAATTCATAGTTGCATCATATTTCATGCAGAGACTCGATAGCAGCTGCTTAAAGTAAGTATAGAAACAACTGATATATATATGATAATTATGATCTTACCTATATTTTTTTGTTTAATAATTTGGAGTTCACAAACATAAATTCTTTGAAATAGAGCCAAAAACTATATATGTATATTGCAAGAGAGAATGATAATGAAATATCCATATATCCCCTTTGGCGCTTTCATATAATATTATACCAATTTGAACAACACATGGTGGCAGGGAAAGACAGAGATACAGAAATAGAGTTACATCACGTGCACAAGTATCCCTTCATAAAACTAACTTCTCAACCCTCCTTCTGTTGTTGAACTTCAGTTCCTTCTAGCTCCCTTGTTTTGGTGAAGTTGTTCTTGCGTTCTGTTTGATCCTGGTTCTTCTCTCGTTCATCCTGAACATGTTTCTGTTCCTTCTTCTCCTCTCCAATCTCAATTTCAACAAGCTGAGGTATCACTTCATGGTTCGTATTAGTCACAGTTGAAGCCAAGTTTTCATCATTGATATCCCCTTTGTGTTCTGGCAGCTTCTGATCCTTCACTGGTTTTTGTTTTCTGTATATTGCATACAGCACCATTTGAATAGTACCAAACGTGACACCCACTATGTTCGGAAGCTTTCCAAAGATAATAGAACAACATTAATATTATTATAAAATGATATTTCTAAAATTAAATAGACAACTTTTGGCTTAGCTTTATGAGGCAAAGTGATAATATTGTGACTTATAAAACCAAAAATATTGCAAAATTATCACATATGATCGTACATATAACACTATTATGTAATGGATTAATTGGAATACTTACTGTAATATAGATATCTCTAAGAAGAATACCATATGCCAACCACATAATGGCGCTTATTGTAAGGAGGGCTGAAAGAGTAAGAGGCATGAACTCTACACTTTTGGTGCGAATAACCACTTTCTGAAAATGAACAAGATCAACCATGCATGCATGGTGATTATTTGATGAGTTATATTAAACGTATAATTAAAAAAAGAGAGTCTAAGAAGTAAATATCTTACAATTATGCTTAAAGGTGCTGCGAAAACACTGGTAGAAAGGACTACACAAATCCATCCAAGAATCTCTAGACGTGCTTCTCTTTCTTTTGCTAGGACGTGTGTTAGAAGGACAATCAAGAAAATCCCTCCCAAGTTGAACAAGAAAATCAATTTCAATGTGAATATCTGCATGTTCAATCATAGTCTCATATTATGTTAATCATATAATAAATGACAAGGACACAAATAAGTGATGTGATCAACATATATTATATACTCACCCTAGCTTTCTTGGGGCAATAAGTGATATAGATGACAAGGTAGATTGTTTCTATAAAACAACCAAATGAATTGATGGTGATAATAAGTATTTCACCCTTCTTTATGTAGGCATAAAATATCCAAAGCATTGAACAAAAGAGTGCTGCCACATATGGAACTGATTGGAACCCTTCTGTTGTTTTCTTCTTACAAACTCGATAGAATGTTGACCTGCAAAACATTATTTAATTCATTTGTTTTAATTTTGATTTTTGAAATATGAGGAATATGTATAAATGAACAAGTGGATCAATTAAAGGAATGTATATATATGCTTACACTGGTGCTAGAAAGCAAATGAAGGAGGCAATGTTACCTACAACACTCACAAGAAATTAAGGTGAGAGAAAACTGTATGAGTTAGCTCATGTAGATATTATGGGAAGGAAAGTTAAGAAGAGAATGCATATATATTAGCTTGAATTCAATGAAATTACCTAGAACACCAACGGCAAAAATTATAGGAGTGTCATGAGCCATGGTTTTGGAATATCCCTAAGGAAATATTCCCTTGATTGAAAGTAGAAGAGAAGAAGGGTTTGAAAAGAAGCTAGCTCTAGCTTGATCCCTATGTCACACCCTGCCACTAAAGAAGAGAGAATGAAGATCCCTTATAAAGGAAGGGGGTATTGTTGTTTATGCACACTCATACACTAATACTATGCTATATGGAAATTAGGAAGAAAGATAGATATGTTGTCTCAAATTATGTTTTATATTATGTCTTATACTAATAAAAATGAAATAAAATACAGAAAAATAATGAATATTTATTTTTTAATTAATATGACTATCTTCTTTTGTGTGAATAAAATTTGGGATAACATATAGTACTTTTGGATAGGGATCATCTATCCTAAAAGGATTTCGTCTCTATCGAATAGAATTGCACAAAATAGTATAAAACATTAATTTATATTTTTATAATCCAATTAAATGATAGATTTTGATTGGTTAAGACAGTACATCTACATACTAGTATCTCTTACGCCCAACTTTGAGTGCCAACTAACTCAACAAATTATTGAATCTAGTTGGATTGATGTTGTTTACAATTAATACTTTGGGCCACCCTCTTCACTTATTTGCGTGTTACTTGTAGAAAATGTTTTCTTTGCTTTCATTCATAATTCTAAAAGATCCCCTTCCTCACGTGACCTAATTCCATTATTTCCTCCCTTTTCCGTCCAAGATATATATTGAATTTTTTCTTGTGCTTTTATTTTACAATTTAAATTTTCCAACTAAATTGTTAATAACATTGATATCCAAGTCTGTTGATACATCATCTAATGGAATTTGTTACTCCTGCCTAATATGACTTAGTTTCAATTCCCAATGTTATAGGCTATCCATTATATATATTCTTGTCTTATAATAAGAATTAGAGAAAAAAAATTGGAAGCAATATATGTATTGATGATAATAGTACAAAATTTGTGTTGTACTCTATCAAAGAGTAAATCGTGCACTATAGAAACTAAAAAAAAATACGAAAGATTGGTCGGGTCCTTATTTTTCTAAGTGGCACATTATTACCTGATCAAACTATTTTTCTTATGATTTTAATTCACGAGTGTATCTATACATGTTATGAAATTGCACATTCGCCACATGTGATTAATGATCTTATTTTGTAAGAAAAGTAATATGATGAACATGATTTTTGTGGCTGAAATGGCTAAGTAAGAACTATGTAATACACCTGGAATCAGCTGGAATATAACTCAAATAGTCACGACAGAACAACGAGTTGATTTAAATGAATAATTGACCAATGCAATAGTGGTACTCTATTAGGGCTAACCGAATCTGGAACTCTCGTATTCTCTCTCCCCATGTGCTTCTACAAAATGTGAAACTTCCATTTTGTTTGATATGATATATTTTGGTTTAAATATTTTTTCCGCAAAAAATATATGAAATTTTAATTTCTGTAATATTTTTTTTTTGTTTTGTAACTTATATATTCTAGAATTTGGCTTTTAATCACTAGTAATGATATTCCTCAAATTAACTTTCTTAACATTATAGATAGGGATTGAAGTCTAAGCAATAAATTAAAATATATACTATTGTGTTCTCTTCACACTTATGTTCATTCCATGGTGCATTTTTTATCATTAACAAATTTTCTTACTGGTGGTTTTTTTTCCATTAACGATCATTCTAATAGTGATTACGCTAATAATTTCGTTTCTCATCTATGATCATGTGGCTCCTTATGATAAATTAAATTAACAATGATTTCTTTTCACACTGACGATCATTCTGATAATGATTATATATGCATAATTTGTTTTTTACAACACCATTCAACAATTTTATTTTGTGGAATTGATATAATTATTTGATTATTTTTTTTTAAATTAATTATTTGAAATGAGCTTAAAGTTTACTAAGCTTTAGTTTAAGGGGCGTATTAGATAATATTTGGAATAATAAAATATTATCTTATCTAAGATTTAGTTTATTTTATTTTATTTGTAAAATCAATGTTAAAAACTAAAAATTAACAATGCGTTAATCTAGTGATATAAGACACCGTTAAATTCTCACAACCACCAAAAGATCAATGTTCAATTCTTGTGAGCGGCATTTGTTGATAGAGACAACCACTTACCCAAAAAAGATTAGTTACTTACCAAAAGATGAGGGATATTCTTGATAATACTAAAAAATTGTTAAAATTAAACTAAAAATATTTTATTATTTTCAATATTAAATTCTTTAAATGTGTGAATATATATAC